CCGGATTATCACTATTTTTGGATTTTAAGCACATGCCGGCAAATCAAGGTTGCATAGTTGGCGCTCTTATGCACGAAACCTTCTTTCTGCAACCCGCCCCCCCCCCCACACTCCAATAAAAGGTTCAGAGGTTTTGCCATGAAGAAACTGATGGGAAAACACATGAAAGGCACGGGATAAATATCTGCTTGACGTAACATCTAACCACCCCACAAACAACTCGGAAGGAATTGCTCGGTAAATACCTGGCGTTGTCTAATCCAGTGCTTCCCCAGCTCTCACTGCTACTTCCCACCCATGGAAATATGGCTACAGGTCTTGCTGGACCACTCCCTCTTTCCCTTCTCCTTCTGCACCAATTGCAGTGCACTGTGCTAGACGCTGTATCATTTCTCATTATATTTTTGCTGCATCAAATACATCTCTTAGATGTTGAATCTGATTGTACAGTGGTACCTCAGGTTAAGTGCTTAATTCGTTCCGGAGCTCTGTACTTAACCTGAAACTGTTCTTAACCTGAAGCACCACTTTAGCTAATGGGGCCTCCTTCTGCCGCCACGCCGCCAGAGCCTGATTTCTGTTCTCATCCTGAAGCAAAGTTCTTAACCTGAAGCACTCTTTCTGGGTTAGCGGAGTCTGTAACCTGAAGCATATGTAACCTGAGGTACCACTGTATTGCAACTTGAATTCCAATAGACTTCAGACCATGATGCAAGAAGAAAATGAAAGAAGCAATAACAACACAGTTTAAAAAATCAATGGGGATCTTTTACGCGACGGGTGTGTCACCTCCTCCTTCAACCGCAAATCCACAGATGCGGTGCGAATCCCCTGAGTGAGGCATGGGCGGCCAGAAGACCAAAGTTTGGGAAACTCTGGTCTAATCTCCCCGCAAACAAATCAGGATGGGTGCTCAATAAACAAGTCTGAAAGCAACCTTCCTCTCTCTCTCTCTCTCTCTCTCTCTCTCTCTCTCACACACACACACACACACACACACACACACACACTTTGCCATTTAACCTCAACTGGAGAATCTGTGGTCCACCAGGTGTTGCCTTGAACCAAGCTGGCTGGGGGATAATGAACATTGCAGCCCAACATCTGGGGAGCCACAGATTACCTGCCCCTGTTGTGTTTCGGAGTCCTTTTTGCTAACTAACATTCTAGTCCGTATGGCTCCTCCAAATGCCAGACATCCCTGGATGATGTTGGATCGCACAACCCATCTTCCCCATCCGTTGGGCCAAACTGGTTGGGGGTTGATGCGAGAGAGTTGGGGTCCAACAGCATCCACCTGACTTTGGCAACCACCTGACACCCTACCTTCAGCGTTAAGATTACCTGCTGGACATTTCCTGCAGCACTTCGAGTTCCAAAGCGGGTATTCATTCTCAGCACACTTTAAGCTCCCCACGGTTTGCATGGGCAAAATGAAGATCAAGAGCAGAGCGAGTCCCAGGCTGTATTTCATGGCCAGCTTCAGCGTGGCTGTGCCAGGTGCTGTCTTCATCGAAGCAGAGCAGGAAGAGAAAAGCATGCAGACTCTGGAGGCTGAATGGCAAATTTCAGCCTTGAACTAGAGGGAAGTTCCCAGCAGAAGACCTTTGTTGCTGGGTTTTTCTTTCTAAATGGAGACCAAAATCCATTTCCTCTTTCTGAGTCAGCTCACACTCATTCCGTTTATTTGAATAAATTGTAGTGATCAGCATTTCTTCTCTCTCACCAGCTTAAATTACTGTAGTTTGTTTTCAACCAGTGGTGCCTGGTGTGCGTTGCGACAGGTCGGGAGCCCAACAGTAGGGGGAGCCAGAGCCAAGGACATGCAAAAAGGATCTAGTGGCCTTAAGGTAAAGGGACCCCTGACCATTAGGTCCAGTCATGACCGACTCTGGGGTTGCGGCGCTCAGCTTGCTTTACTGGCCGAGGGAGCCGGCGTACAGCTTCCAGGTCATGTGGCCAGCATGACTAAGCCGCTTATGGTGAACCAGAGCAGCGCACGGAAATGCCATTTACCTTCCCGCCGGAGTGGTACCTATTTATCTACTTGCACTTTGACATGCTTTCGAACTGCTAGGTTGGCAGGAGCAGGGACCAAGCAACGGGAGCTCACCCCGTTGCAGGGATTCGAACCGCCGACCTTCTGATCGGCAAGCCCTAGGCTCTGTGGTTTAACCCACAGCGTCACCCGCGTCCCATCTAGTGGTCTTAGTAGACCACAAACTTAGCATGAGTCACCAATGTAATGCAGCGGGGGTGGGGGGTGGGGAAGCTAGCCCAGTTCTCGGCTGCATCAACAGATGTATAGTGTCCAGACAAAAGGAAATAATAGTATCGCTATGTTCTGCCTTGGTCAGACTCCCACTTGGAGTACTGTGCTCAGTTCTGGGCGCCACAATTTAAGAAGGATATTGACAAGCTGGAAAGTGTGCAGAGGAGGGCAACCAAGATGATCAAGGGTCTGTGAACCAAGCCTTATGAGGAACAGTCGAGGGAGCTGGGCATGCTTAGCCTGGAAAAGGGGAGATATGACCGCCATCTTCAACTATCTGAATATGAAGCAAGGTTGTTTTCTGCTGCTCAAACCAATGGATTCAAATTATAAGAAATGGGATTCCAACTAAACATTAAGAGTAACTACCTGGGAAGATGGCGAACACTCCTTCATTGGAGGTTTCTAAATAAGGCCCACATTGTCCATCTGTCAGGGGTTATTTCACTGCAATTCCTGCATTGCAGAGAGCGGATTAGTAGACCCTGTGAGCCTATGGTTTTATGACAGATTTGTCTATTCCATACCTCTGAATGTCAACTGCTGTGTGGTACCAGCAGAAAGGGGTTATCTGCCCTACAGGCGCTGAGTGTGGTCTTTGTAGGAAGCAGGGCACTCAGCTAGGTGGACTTTTAGTAAGATCTTCTGGTGCCCTTGACCGAACTTGGATAGAAGTCCCTGTTTGTCTCGGAAGCCGCATTCTGCAGAGAGCGAAGCTTGCAGGCCTCGTCGGAGAAAAAGGACCGGAAGAGAAATTATGCTGATACCAGCACATCTAGAAAGGTAAAGTCCCAATTATTCTGCGGCAGGCAGAGGAAACTCATTCTAGTTTCATCCTCCTCCTCCTCAGTTGTACAAATGCAACAAGGTGGGTGCTGTCTGCAAATAGGTTGGTGTGGCAGTGCCCCATTTGCCCTCATGGACCAGCTGCCACTGTTACTCAGAGCAGACCCACTGGGATTAATGGGCCCAAGCTAGTCATGCCCATTCATCTCAATGGGTCTACTCTGAGTACAACAAATGTTGAAGGCAGCCCAGATGCTCAAAGGCCAGCATGGGGAACCTTGGCCTCATTGCCCTTCCCTTCCAATCCATATGCTTCAGTTTCAACAGGTCTCCAGGATTTCAGGGATTGAACCTGGGACCTTCTGAACTCAAAGCAGGTGCTCTGCCAGCGTGCAACAGCTCTTCCCCTGCAACTAAAAGAAGAAGCCGCCTGGTCTTCATGGTTCTGAATGAAGGGCTCCTTTAAATAGGAAAACAAGAGGCTCCTTATCCCAAATCAGACCATTGGTCTATCTAGCTCAGTACTGTCGACACAGACTGGCAGCAGCTCTCCAGGATTTCAGGCAGGTCCCTCCAAACCCTACCTGGTAGTGCTGGGGACTGAGCCTGGGTCCCTCTGAAGATGCTGTCCCACTGAGCTACAACCGTTCATGGGACATCAATAAGGAGCGCTACCCAAAGGAAGGACTGCCCAGTGTGTGTTCCTGAGAGGGGACAGCGCCATCTTTTTGAATGCTCCCTCTGGGCATTTAAAAGACTCGACCTTACCTCCCTGACCCCCTTCCTCTGCTTTTTCATTTTTTGAAAGCTCACCAGGGTTCACCAACGTAGTGCTTGCTGGGTCACCTTGTCTTCTGCTGGAGATAAGCTTGAAAGAAGTATCCTATGGTAGCTGACAGGTTGCAATGTGTACTTGGTTGTGGTGCGTGTGAAAAAGACTTCCACAAGTCTCTCCAGTTTGCAGGTGAACCCACGAGCCCTGAGACACTCGGGCAACTGGTTTAAAACCAGTACCATACAGAGCAAGGCTGCTGTATGCAGCCAGCCAGGAGACAATTGCAAAGCAGTGAGTCATAGCAATAACACAAGATGCTGCCTGCTAGATCAGACCCTCTTGCCCAGGATAATCTACCGCTCTGACTGGCAGCAGCTCACTGGAGTCTCAGGCAGAAAACGGCCACCCCCATCTCTTCCCACCTGAACAGTAGCGAGTGCAGAGGCTCTGCATGCACTCATCACTCAAGTGTGCTTTTCTTCCCCATATGCCCAAAGGAGCACCCCCTAAAGCATTTATACAAGCTGTTAAAATTGGGAATGAAAATCTGCGGCCCTCCAGAGGTTGCTGGACTCCCAATTCATGTCAACACCAACCATTAGTCATGCTGGCCATGGCTGATGCGATTTGGACGTGTAAACAGCAGCCCCTGTTTTAATTAGTCTTAACAGAAGCCAGAACAGCTACTCATGCAGAGACATAGCAGGGAGACTCCTTTCTGAATGGCTCTTCCCCCTTCCCAGGAGCCTTTAGCCCCAAGATGGAAAGCCTGTACCCCTCCAAATTATTATAATTTTTATGACGTGCCCTTCCGCAGCAGGTTCCAGAATGGGTTACGTTACAGTAATTTAAAACTGAGAATTAAAAACTGGTGAAACATATTAGGCTCCATGAAGCATTTCAATCCCAGCTGGTTCTAATAAGAGCTGTGACTTTTTAAGAACTGGTGCCTGGGCTTGCATTTTTCCCCTTCTCCCTCCCAATCCTTTTGTCCTTATTTGCCATGTCACGTCAAACATTGCTGGACTACAACTCCCAACATCCCTGACCATTGGTGATGCTGGCTGGGGCTGATGGGGGTGCAGCAACCTTATCTAGAGGAGCACAGGTTCCTCTTGTTTAAATAAAGCAGGGAGTGTTTGAAAGAATAATAAAACACACACACAGTTACATGTATTTACATTCTATTAAGGAGGGTAACATCAGACACCTTAAGCTGCAATTCTTAAAAGAACAGGGTTGTGTTGGTGTTTCTGTATAAAGGACAGGAGCAGAATAAACCCATTTAAATTAAAATTCAAACGTTTATGAACATAACCCTCGTCAGGGAAACAACTTCTGAACCTGAAGAAGGGAATCGTTCAGTCTTCCTGTAGAAAGTCTTCCACCAGTAACTGGGTTATTTGAATTTATGTATTCCTGAGGAACAACTCCATCATCCGACTAAGCTTTGACCGGCCAGAGACTCACTTGCAATCTCCCTCCAATTCACTACCTGTGACTTTTTATGATTTGATGCCTTTCCTCCAGCCCTCTCCTTAAGATTACCCTTGTGTCAGATCCAACACACACCAGGAAGTCTCTTGGTTACAACTCTCACTTCTCGCAGTTCTGGGTTCACTGGGCTGCTCCACTTTGCTAGCAAGAGATCTTCAGGAGACCTCTTCCTCAGCCTAGCTGGATTCCACCCACTTTTCCTGCACCACTGCATTCTGAACGGCTCCCAAGCATGCACCTATATTCGGCATAAAGCAAACTCTCTGTGGCGGGCACCGATTGGACACCGCGGTCCAGGCAACTTGGGTTTGCATAGCCTATATAAACAAGTGCACTCTCCAAGCGCAGGTTAACAGGGCATGCACAGGAGTACGGAACAAACTGGTGCCTCTGAAGCTACCCTGGATCGCTCAGTTGGTTAGAGCGCAGCACTGATAACACTAAGGTTGCAGGTTCGATCCTTGTATGGGCAGCTGCATCTTCCTGCATTGCAGGGGGTTGGACTAGATGATCCTCAGGATCCCTTCCAACTCTACAATTATGTGATACCCCTTTTAGGTCCTATGACAAGGTAGGATGTACCTAATGAATGCTGCGGTTTAGAGCTTAACCATAGCCTGCTGCCCATTTTGGGATAATGCCAGAGAGGCCCACCCACCCTTATTCCATCTTCGAACAAAGATGAGGGGCACGTTTGTCGCTTGCAGTGTATTAACTCTCAGGCACTGCTGAAATATAAAAGAGCGCTCACAGCTCTCTCCTTGACAACCTGCGCTTGCACATTTTTTCCTCAAACAAATCGTTTTTATTAAGAGACAGGTGCACCCACCTCTATTTAACCGAGAAGCAGATGCTGTTCAAACATACCCCTAGACCCCAATCTAGAAAAGCAGCCCATAACCCTGGCATGACCTGGTGCCTGCCTGCTTAGGGATCTTGCTACCGGATTGTCCTCCCCCTGGATCTGTCGTGCTCTACAACTCGAGATGGGACTTCTGCCCATTGGAAGGGGTCCTCTGCCTCCCTGCACAGTGACTTGGGCTGTGATCGGCCCAGATGGTTAAAATGCACTTTCATGGTGCTTTTGTCCGTGAGCAAGAGAACATTCTTGAGGTCTATCTGCTGGGGGGGGGGGAGTGCTTGATAGCAAGGGGAGCTGCTGCCAAACTCCAGCCAATAAACGCTGAGTGTTGCCTCTTCCACAGGCCGCGCAGTGTGAGATGCTGGCATGTGAGCAGCTCAGCCATGAAGACTGTAGTTACACCTGTGTGCCTAGGTCCCTGAAGAGATGCCTCTGTTGAGACATTTGCTGCCTAGGAAAGAACGCCTCAGCTGGCATGCGAGTGCGACTTGTTCGTGAGACTTGTGTGATATTAACTCCAGCAGAAGCAGCCACTGGAGCGTCCTGGCTCAAGGCACTAAATCTATGCAAGATATTGTCGTTCCTTGAAGCCTGCTGCACTGTGGCTTAGGATCGCTTGAGCTTTGGCGTGTGTTGAGCCAGGAGGAGAGTAAAGGAAGGAGAGGAGAAAGTGCTGGACCAGCTGGTCATGTGGGCTCCTGCCTGGGCAAGCGGAAGGACACAATCTACTGCAAGGCTGACTTTGCTGATTTTGCTGGGGGAAAGGCTGCTTTCTAACCCAGAACTGGCCCACCATCCGGCTGCTTGCAAAGGGAACCCAACGCTGGTTTGAAAGGATGCACTGGGTGTGGGAAACCGCTGCAATCGCCAAAACAGAAACTTCAAACCAATGCGAAACCAAAGAAAGCAGCCCGTGAGTTCCTCGCCTCCCCACCCAGCACCCAGGCAAAGATAATGGTCCTCAAATACTAAAGGTGCCATCTCAAAGTCCAAACAGTAGAGCAGAACTGGGCGTGGCATTTGCAGGGTACAACCGAGTGTCCTGAAGGAGGGAAATAAAAAGAAGTTGCCGATCGACAGCACAGGCAAGAACTGGTGCGGATCCTTCCCTGTAGAAATCAGAGAGCACTTTCCTCTCGAAGGCAAGCGAGCTATAGCTCTTTTTCATTTGTGGACGGCTTTCGTTCAAAAACAAAAAAGGAAGTCTAGAACACCGCACTGTATACACACAGAACACAGATATAGCAGCAAAAGGTAACCTTTGTTTTTTGGGGGAAAGCAAGAAGGTGCATCGAGACAGAGAGAGAAAGAGAGAGAGTGTGTGAGAGCCCCTCTCGGTCAATTCCTCAGAATTCCTCGTGGACATTTCGTGCGTAGTCCATGAGCTTGCTGCCGGTGAAATACTCGCTGTATTTCAAGATCTCCTCTTGCTCCAAGTGGTGGTTCTGGTTCTCGTCGGCCACGGCAATCATCTGCTTCGCTTCGTTCAAGGCGTTGTATTCGTTCATGGGGTCCATGTATTCCTGGGGAAGGGAGAGAGAAAGCAAAGGGCATCAGAGCAGGCTGCTGGATCCAGCCAACAGCCCGTCTAGTCCAGGATCCTGTTCTCACAGCAGCCACCCTGTGGGAAGCCATCAAGCAGGACGCAAGTACAAAACCACTCTCCTCCCCCTCTGTAGTTTCCAGAAACTGAGGTTCAGAAGCGCCGCTGCCTCCGATGATGGACTGGTAAAATGGCTGTGTCAAAACCAAGCCAGAAGGGGAGGGCCACTTTGCAGCAGCATCGGCAAAAACTGGTCAGAGGCAGGATGGGAGGAAGCTGGGTGCCCTTGCATAGCTACTCAGAGTTTTCCGGACAAAGGGGATTAGTGGAAGTTATTGTAACTGGCAGAGGACCTGACTAGCACACAGAACAACAACAACAACAATAATATCTGGCTGGGTTTCCCCAGCCACTCTGGGTGGCCTCCAACAAAACATTAAAACACAGTAATGCATCATCAAACATTAAAAGCTTCCCTAAACAGGGCTGCCTTCAGATGTCTTCTAAAAGTCTGGTAGTTGTTGTTCTCTTTGACATCTGGCGGGAGGGCGTTCCACAGGGCGGGTGCCACTACCGAGGAGGCCCTCTGCCTGGTTCCCTGTAACTTGGCTTCTCACCGTGAGGGAACCGCCAGAAGGCCCTCGGTGCTGGACCTCAGAATGACCCAGGTTGAAATACCCTGGCATGTCCAGTAAGAAGGATCAGCTGTTGAGTGATAGGAAAGGCCTCTCTGAAAGAGCTGCTGCCACCGCCAAAACAGAGGTTTGTTCTGGCTGGTCTAGTGCTTTGACTTTGTATAAGGCTGTTTCCCACATGATTTAAGAAAATCAAGCCTTGCATTCGCTGTACCAGGACAGGCCAGTAGTAACCACATCTCGATCTGAGATGCGTTTCTAGAACTCATGGTTTTACTCTGAGTAGGACCGACGCTGGACACAACCTGATACAGTGGTACCTCGGGTTACATACACTTCAGGTTACATACGCTTCAGGTTACAGACTCCGCTAACCCAGAAATAGTACCTCAGGTTAAGAACTTTGCTTCAGGATGAGAACAGAAATCATGCGCCAGCGGCGCAGTGGCAGCAGAAGGCTCCATTAGCTAAAGTGGTGCTTCAGGTTAAGAACAGTTTCATGTTAAGAACGGACCTCCGGAACAAATTAAGTACTTAACCCGAGGTACCACTAATCTGAAAATCTGGGCTGAGTTAAATCTGCTTCTGATGTGGTGTACTTGCAGAACTTGGCTGTTTTTGGTGTGGAGCTTGAGAAGAGGAGAGAAACTTGAATATAAGTAAAAATCTGTGCGTAAGGAAGATTTTCTTTTCTTCAGAATACTAAACCCCAAAAATGAAATGTACGGCGAGATATACAAGAAACCCTAAGCCACAGCCTCAGTGGCCTTGTCTGCAGGAAAACATTTTATCAGATTCAGGGTCACATTATCAGAAAGCATTTATTTCAGAAAAGTCCCCAAACTTCCTGCTGTGAGTCTCCCTTCTCCGAAACACAAAGAGCTTTGTTATGGAAGGACACAAATGTGCAGATTCGCCCAGGGTTCAGATACCCAAAACTTTGTTTCAGAACATAGCCGAAAAAGGTCTAACTGCCTCCGTGACAGACAGCGCGCTAATTTCACTTTTTCCAAGGTGGAACTGAGAAAGGGTTAACGTGACGTCAGAAAGAGCACCAAGCAAACCTCGTTCCTAAGCAACGTCTCAGGAAGCGAAGGGGGCCCACGGCAGTGCTGATCACCTGCTGCGATACAGCTCAAATGCGAGACAGTAGGAAGTTATAGGTAGAGCGCTTTATCTCCCTTTGGCATCTGAATTCTTTGTGGAGCAGGGTGCGTGACCAGCAGGGGGGGGGGTGCGCCTGCTTGTTTCAAGGGGGGGGGGAGCAGCTTTTTCAGAATTCAGAAATCAATAAGCTTGATTAAAGGTCAGAACATCACTTGACACTGTGAACCTGGTAACTGTTAGATGCAGCTTTATAATTCTAATCTTGACTTCGCCTTTAAAAAATAAATAAATGTTGGATGCTAATTTGAGATAACAATACAGTTCAGTTTCCTGTATTATAATTTATGTACCGCCCTTCATTTATGGAAGAATGGTAGCCTCTTTTTAAATGGAAGAATGGAGGCCTCTTTTTTTGGACTATTTAGAGAAATATCGTAACGTGATGAATTCGCAAGCAGGATTTGAACTATGAGCAACAGAAATAATGAGAGATGATTGTATTACGGTCATGATATAAAAGGGGGAAGTCACAGGGTACAGCAATGAGATAGAATTTTAAAAAACACACTACGGGAAATGGAATGGAAGGACGAAAAAAATTATTATGTATTGAAATTTGTGGAAATTTAAGAAAATATATTTATATATACAGTTAGCTAAAGTGGTGCTTCAGGTTAAGAACAGTTTCAGGTTAAGAACGAATCTCCGGAACGAATTAAGGACTTAACCCGAGGTACCACTGCACTACCCTTCTTCTAAGGATCACAAGGCAGTTCACGGTATAAAAACTCAGAAGTGCGTAACGTTGTGTATATATTATTGAATATTTTGTTTAGTGTTCCTGGAAATATATATTGCACAATATCTTTTTAATTATTTTTTATGTAAAAATCTGTGTTTCTTTTTTTTAAAAAAGGATCAGGGCAACAGGGGAAGCGGGAAAAATGTAACAGTGTGTGTGCCTCTCACATGGGATTTCAACCAAGATACGTGAAAAAATTCGCAATTTGAGCATATGCAGCTACAGCCAATTCCCAGGACACACTCACCTCCAGCTCTTCCATAGTGACGATGCCGTCGTGGTCGGCATCAATGACTTCCTCGAACTCTTTCTTCCTGTCTTTCACCCAGTCGTCATCAATGTCCTGAGCCTGCTGGTTCTCCACGGTGCCGACGGGCAAGGAGATGAACTCGGAAAGGGTCAGCTTCTTATCGCCGTCCTGATCTGCAAAGGTTACAGCGTTTGACAGTAAAAATAAGGGGGCATGCAGAATTCAGCATGTGAGTTGCCAGCAACGTCCCACCACATGTACCTACCTACCACATGTTCAAAGTGGATGGCTTCCCTCAAAGAATCCTGTGCTTTGTTTAGTATGGTGGTGATTTTAGCTCTGTGACTACAGTTCCCAAGAAGCTTTATTTTACTTTTTTAGTGGGGAGCTTTAAATGTATGGTGTGTAGGCAGCTCATTGCTTCCAGCAGGTTACTAACTGGGATGGGACAGTAACCTTTAAGAATATTTGCAAAGGAAGCATCACCGAGAGCCAGTGTCGTGTAGTGGTTAAGAGCGGTGGACTCGTAATCTGGTGAACCGGGTTCGCGTTTCCGCTCCTCCACATGCAGCTGCTGGGTGACCTTGGGCTAGTCACACTTCTCTGAAGTCTCTCAGCCCCACTCACCTCACAGAGTGTTTGTTGTGGGGGAGGAAGGGAAAGGAGAATATTAGCCGCTTTGAGACTCCTTCGGGTAGTGATAAAGTGGGATATCAAATCCAAACTCTTCTTCTTCTTCTTCTTCACCGCTTCTGCCTATCAGCTGGGCATTTACCCAGAGGCCCAATATACTTTCTGCCAATGGACAGCGAGTTGGAACTTGGGCTGGGGAGACCAGAGTTCAAATCCGCTCTCCTCAGAGTAAATCCGGGTTAAATTGTTCCCTCTTACCTTAAAACCAGCACTGGGGGGACCCTGTGGCCCTCCAGTGGTTTTGGACTACATTTCCCATCATCCCCGGAAACAGGCTAATTTAGATAAGGATGATGGGAGCTGCAGTTCAACAACATCTGGAGGCCAGCAACCCTTGGCTTAAATTTAAGGTTTGTTGCAATTTCATAGCAAGGTACAGAATTATGAATGCTGGCCAAAGCTCCATGGATAAAAGGAAAAGATAAAAATGCAACAACTAGGTTCGAATGCATATCCTATAATCATCCACCTCTGTTTGGAGATATAGGGTTGTACCCAGTGTTAATTCCACTATGAACAGACTCACTGAAGTTAATGAACACAACTTAGATCCACTAATTCTAGTGGGTCTACTTTGTGTAGAGCTTAGTTTGATACAACCTACAGAACAGCTTATATTAATATAAGAATTCACGTCAGGCTGGCTGGATTTCTTTTATTAATAATGCAAGCTGACAATTTTTTTTGTTATATTTGCTATGCTATTTTTTTTTTTAAGAGTTCTAGCCAATTCTAGTCCTACTCAGAGTAGGGTTATCTTAACAGACATGACTAACTTAGGTTCATTAATTTCAGAAGTATAATTTAGCTGGGTAGAATGTAGTAATCTTGAGGGGGGTGGGGGGTAGCAACTTTTTCCATAGAAGAACAAAGACAAGGTAATGCAAGTGAGCCAGTGGGATCTGGAGCCAAGAGGTGGACTAGGGTGCCACCTTCTGGCCAAGGAGGGTGCTACAACAACAATTAATTACAGTGGTGCCCCGCAAGATGAATGCCTCGCAAGACGAAAAACTCGCTAGACGAAACGGTTTTCCGTTTTTTGAGTCATTCCGCAAGACGAATTTCCCTATGGGCTTGCTTTGCAAGATGAAACGTCTTGCGAGTTCTTGCGAGTTTGTTTCCTTTTTCTTAAAGCCGCTAAGCCGTTAATAGCCGCTAAGCCGCTAATGGCCGTGCTTCGCAAGACAAAAAAACCGCAAGATGAAGAGACTCGCGGAACGGATTAATTTCGTCTTGCGAGGCACCACTGTAATCCCTACTTGGAATTCTAACCATTTTACATGAGAAATGTAGGAGGTGAAATTTCTATTATCTCTGGAAAGGAGGTGAATTTTTTAAGAGTTTCAGAGTTGTGGCAGGTGGCCAGAAGAGGGAGAAGTGTTTTTAAACTCTTATTTTTCTTCTGAAGGAATATCCCCAGCTGCTTCAATGGGCCTGGATCTACCCGAGAGGCCAGAGCCTCAGGCGACAGTTGCTGAGGGCCAGGCAGCAGACAGAGCCATGTTTCCCTTGCGGCTGCCCGTGCTCCGCTTGGCTGCTGTCTTCAACTGCAGATTATGACGCGGCTGGCGCTGAACCGAGATACACTTGCCTGCCTGCTTGGATTTTGCAATGGGAAAGCGCTAGCTTGCCCTTCACGGCAGGCACTGAAGCAGCGTGGCAGCCAGCCTGGCCGCTGTATTCTCCCGCAATCCCTCATTCCGAAAGCCATGGCGTGGTGCAGCACAGCCCCAGATGCATTGTGGGAACAAAGACCACCAAATGAGGCCACATCATGGCTCTGCCATGGAGGCTGTAACCCCCCCTTGCCTCTGACAAATTTAAAAAACTTGTCTGCTCCCTCACCCCATGAAAATATCCCCGAAAGGTGCCCTTTCGACTTCAACAGGTATGGAAGCTGTCTCCAAAAGCTGGAAACTGGAATGTAGGAATCTGCCTTGCACACAGTGAAACCACAGGTCTCAGTACAGTGGTATTTCGGGTTACCTTCAGGTTACCTACACTTCAGGTTATAGACTCCGCTAACCCAGAAATAGTACCTCGGGTTAAGAACTTTGCTTCAGGATGAGAACAGAAGTCGTGCTCCAGCGGCACGGCGGCAGCAGGAGGCCCCATTAGCTAAAGTGGTGCTTCAGGTTAAGAACAGTTTCAGGTTAAGAACGGACCTCTGGAACGAATTAAGTTCTTAACCCGAGGTACCACTGTACTGCCTACGGCATGGATGGGGAACCTGTGGCCCTCCACAGGTTGCTGAACAACTTCCATCAACCCTGGCCAATGGCTGGGGCCAATGGGAGTTCAGGAACATCTGGGGAGCCAAAGGTTCCTCAGCTCTGGCTTGCAGCGACTGGCAGCTGCCCTCCAGGATTTCAGGTAGGAGACATTCCTGGAGATCATGGAATTGTACAGTTGGAAGGGACCTTGAGGATCATCTAGTCTACCCCCTGCAAAGCAGGAATATGCAGCCATCCCACATTGAGATCGAACCTGCAACCTTGGCATTATCAGCACCACGCTCTAACCAACTGAGCTGCAGGGGATTGACTACATGAGAAGATGATGCTCTGCCCCTGAACTATGGGCTCTGGATGGTTTCGTGGGAGCCGATTGAAACTAAATCCTTCGAAGACAGAGGTCCTCTGGCTGGGTCGGGATGGTATGGGGATGAGGGACCAACTCCCTTCTCTTGTGGGGGCTGCCCCTGAAGCTGTCCCAGAAACTCCAGCGGGTGCAGAATGCTGCAGTGAGGCTCCTCACAGGGTCTCTGCCATGGGAGCATATTCACCCAATGCTTTTCCTGCTGCATTGGCTCCCGGTGGAGTTCAGGGTCAGATTTAAGGTGCTGGTTTTGACCTTTAAAGCCCTTCACGGCCCAGGACCCTCGTACCTATGGGACCGCCTCTCCTGGTATGCCCCACGGAGGACCTTAAGGTCCATAAATAGCAACACCCTAGAGGTCCTGGGCCCTAAGGAAGTCAGATTAGCCTCAACCAGAGCCAGGGCCTTTTCAACACTGGCTCCGGCCTGGTGGGACGCTCTGTCTCATGAGACCAGGGCCCTGCGGGATCTGATTTCTTTCTGCAGGGCCTGTAAGACAGAGTTGTTCCACCTGGCCTTTGGCTTAGAATCAGTTTGATTCCCTCCCCCTCTTTCTTTTTCCTTTCTCCTCCTGTGAAGAGGCTGCATCCTAATGTTTTAATGTTGTATTTTAAACTTGTTTTTTAAACTGTATTTTAATCAACTTGTTTTTATTATTGGTTGTTAGCTGCCCTGAGCCCGGTCTTGGCTGGGGAGGGCGGGGTATAAATAAATTTATTTATTATTATTATTATTATTATTATTATTATTATTATTATTCCCTTACTGGGAACATAGCCAACTGCCTTGGAATGAAGAAAGACTATTGGCTCACCTAGCTGTTTATTGTTTACACAGACTGGCAGCACGGCTCTCCGGGCTTTTAATTCCCAGCCCTAGTTGGAGGTGTCGCAGACTGAACCCGGACATCCTGCATGGAAGGCAGATGCTCTTCCAGTGAGCTATGGCCCTTCTGCAACACTGTGCCCAATGCTACCTTTCACAGGAGACAACCCACACTCCCCTCTCTGTGTCCCAAGTCTCCCTCTGCCCACTATACCAGCAGCCAACAGGAGTAACCATTCAGCACCCTCCGGGATCTCGTCCCCATCGGACATCTCTCCAGGAGGCACTCCAGCAACATTAGTAGCTGGGACGAGGTCAAGTTTTCATGAGATTCTGCCCGTGACGGCTTGGAAACGTACCCAGATCCCGGACGATTTCCTTCACCATAAACTTCAACATTCCCCTGCTGTGCTCTGGGTGAAGGAAGGACAGGAATTCTTCCTCATTCAGCAAAAGGTCCGTGGGCGGATTGTCGGCTTGATACCAGCGGTCTTTCAAGTTGTCAAGGACTTCCTGTGCTACAGATTGGGGACAGACAAACAGATTTCTTTCTTTCCATTTTAAAAATCACATTCTCTTTAAATTTGATCTACAAGTTTTGAACACTTATTGCAAAGTTTTCTTCTTGCGAAATAGCATGGTTAAAAAAAACATCAACAAGATCAAGACTGACCCAATGTAGCCTGCAGACTGGAATTTCCCCAACCCTGATATATGCCCTATAATGCTGGAAGTAGCCATTACCTTAGTGGCAGGACAGCTCCTTTGCATGCAAAAGGTCCCAGGCTTCATCCCTGACCTAAGAACAAAATAAGTGTCTGCTGGGTCAGGCCAATGGCCCGTATTGTCCAGCATATTTCTCTCAAAGTGTCCAACCAGAAGCCCCAGAGAGAGGTCCGCAACAGCACCTGACCACCACAGGAGAGTTGTTAAGAGACCCCTGTTCTCCTCCCAGAGCTGCAATCCCCTGAATGATTTAACAGCCAACCACTTTTAGCAGGAAACACTGCAAACTGCAGGCTTGTGAAGGGGACAGGGAACTCCTAACTCTCAATACCCTTAATTAACCACACTTCCCATAATTCCTTGGGGGAAGCCATGGCTGTGAATGGTGCAGACGGGGCCTTTTATTTCCTTTTTTATTAGTGCAGTGGATTGCTTTAATTGAAGAAGAATAATAATAATAATAATAATAATAATAATAATAATAATAATAATTTATTATTTATACCCCGCCCATCTGGCTGAGTTTCCCCAGCCACTCTGGGCGGCTCCCAATCGAGTGTTAAAAACAATACAGCATTAAATATTAAAAACTTCAGATGTCTTTTAAAGATAGGATAGCTGCTTATTTCCTTCACATCTGACGGGAGGGTGTTCCACAGGGTGGGTGCCACTACCGAGAAGACCCTCTGTCTGGTTCCCTGTAACCTCACTTCTCGCAATGAGGGATCCGCCAGAAGGCCCTCGGCGCTGGATCTCAGTGTCTGGGCTGAACAATGGGGGTGGAGACGCTCCTTCAGGTATACAGGACCGAGGCTGTTTAGGGCTTTAAAGGTCAGCACCAACACTTTGAATTGTGCTCGGAAACGTACTGGGAGCCAATGCAGATCTCTCAGGACCGATGTTATGTGGTCCCGGCGGCCACTCCCAGTCACCAGTCTAGCTGCCACATTCTGGATTAATTGCAGTTTCCGGGTCACCTTCAAAGGTAGCCCCACGTAGAGCGCATTGCAGTAGTCCAAGCGGGAGATAACTACTTTACTACGATGGCTAACTTCTTTGCAGGCCTGGGTTTGATTAAAGATGGTTCATATGTATTATAACTTATAAATAAAGGTGTTCTTCTCCTTTCTCCTCTCCAAAAGTGGGGGCAAGATAACAGCAGAAAGCTACGCAGCATGCCAAAGAGCTCCAGATCTCCCCAAAGATGCCTTTGGGCTGGGTGAGGAGGCCTGGAAGCCACACTCCCTGGTCCATGTTTGAAGGGGGCCTCTGCATCAAAGGACAGATCCACACCATTTATGACTCCACCCTAAGAAACCTGGGGAACTGTAGCTTCCCACCCAAGGGAGCTGCAATTCACAGCCCCACTGTTAATTTACCTATATTTCCCAGGATTCTTTGGGGGAGCTCGTGTGCTGCAAATCTGTGGTGCGGATCAGCTCTAGGCAAGACTGACATTAGGCTCCGACTTTTAAGGAGTGTCTTACGCCTCCAGCAAGCTTCTTGCATCCGAGCGGCTCTGGCAAAATGAGCAACGGCAAACCCCTAAGGGGAGCAATATGGAAGAGGGAAGAGTCTGGAGAGGAGGCAGCCAGCTTCCTTTCATGCTGGAGTGGCAGCAGATGGGCTTCCCTGCTCCATATGGCGCACTGCTCAAGACACAGTTGATTAAGGCAGCGTGTGCGTAATGCATAGGGATGAGATTAAAGGCTTGCATGCAACAAACGCTGACAGCCTCGCTTGAGATTGGATGGCACAATATACTTGCGTACGCGTGTGCGTGTTTTCAAATTTGACCGTGCCTGTTCCAGTTCTAGCGATGCGCTCCTCCAAAGAAATACTGCTTTGGTCAATAATGCTGCTGGAAGTGAACTTTGTGAAAGGACATGTCTCTAGTTTAGCAGTTCACGTGGTCAATGCGTTCAGTGAACCGCCCTGAGATCTTATGAGAAAGTGCGGTAGAATAAATCTAATGAATAAAATAATGAATGAATAAGTTTCAGAGCCCTGGTAGAAATGCCAGTGGACATAGGGATGCTATTCGTAATAAAATTGTTAGAAATCCTGAAACAGCTGCTAAGGGCAGGGTGCATTCAGAGGTCTATGGCTTTATAGAGTACAGTTCTGACTGTTCCGTCTTAGAAAGGGTATCACGGAAAGAGTAAAGGTGCTTTTAAAAAGTGGGCAATTAAAACAATCAAATTAAAAGAAAAAGCAGCAGGGTTAAAACATCTGGGCCGTTTTGGTTTGGGAAAAGGGAACGAAAGGAAGCTGGGACATGATAGGCACAGACCGTGTCTATTGGACTGTGTCCAAAGGACACAGACCGATTACCAGAAAATGCTTTATGACACACTTCTGGATTGAACCTGACCCTGGTTTGAACCCAAGCCAGACTACAGCGCTGGTTCCTTTAGCTCAGAATACACTATCTGATAGGGGCTCTCTGGGGTTTCAGACAGGGAAGGTGTCTCCCAGCCCTACCCGGGAACTGAACCGGGCAACCTTTGTATGAAAAGTGTGTCCTCTGCCACAAAGATACAACTGCTATGTGTGCACTGTAATCCTGCAGTAGCACAGAATGAAATCCCCAAACCCCGCTGTTTGGGTGCTCAGAGTCCCCGCTCTTGCAGAAGGAAATGTAGGCATCTGCGGGGAGAACCCAGGCCATCCTGCTCGAGCGATCTGGCTTCCCGCTGCCTCATCCGAAGGCAAAGGAGGAGAACCCTCCCCCCCCCCGGTTCCTTCCTTTTCTTCCTTTGAGCTTGGCAGAGAGTTCTTGTGCAGCCCACTTGGGTAGCCCCTCTGAAAGAGTCTCCTTCCTGCCAGTGGAGTGAGTGAGTGAGTGGCGTTAGCCCATTCTCAACCCCTTGCCTCCTCTGCAGACAAATGAGATACTGGGCCAATAATTCAGCTTCCAAAGAATCTTTTCTAAAAAGATGCATGACCTTAGCTCTTACAGTTGCAAAGTGTGGGGGCGGGGAGGGCAATGCTTGCTGAACTCTCAGAAGCCCATGGGGTGGATAAACACCGCTGAGACCGGTTAAGTGCGGAGCTCCTTTCCTCCCCGTGTTAGCTTCCCCCAAAGAATCCTGGGAACTGTAGTCTGTTAGGGTTGCAGAGAGTTCTTTAGAAGACCCTCACAGAGCCACAATTTCCAGAGTGGCTTAATGATCAATATTTCTGCCCAGGAATTGAAGTTCCGAAAGGGGAATAGGGGATCTCCTAACAACTCTCAGCACCCTTAAACTACAGTTCCCAGGATTCTTTGGGGGAAGCCATGGCTGCTTAAAGCGGCATGATACAGCTTCAAATGTATAGTGCAGAAGGTCCAGTATACCTGAAGGAGCGTCTCCACCCCCATCATTCTGCCCAGACACTGAGGTCCAGCGCTGAGGGCCTTCTGGCGGTTCCCTCGCTGCGAGAAGCCAAGTTACAGGGAACCAGGCAGAGAGCCTTCTTGGTAGTGGCACCCGCCCTGTGGAACACCCTCCCACCAGATGTCAGAGAGATAAACAGCTATCTGACATTTAGAAGACATCTGAAGGCAGCCCTGTTTAGGGAAGCTTTTAATGTTTAATAGACAATTGTATTTTAATATTCTGTTGAAAGCTGCCCAGAGTGGCTGGGGAAACCCAGCCAGATGGGCAGGGTATAAATAATAAATTGTTGTTGTTGTTCTACTGTTCCATACTGCTCAGTATTAATACTGACTGGCAGTGGCTCTCCGGGATTTCAGGCAGGGGAAACTCCACCTGGAGATGCAAAGGATTGAACCTTGCGACTTTCTGCAGGCAAAACAGATGCTCTATCACTGAGCTGTGGTCCCGCCCCAATTCAGACACCACAAGTCGCAGGAAGCTTCCTTGACTACATTTTGGGGAAACGTTCACTGAACTATCATCTCACAGTCACAGGATTGTTGCAAGCATAAGGTGTTTAGTTTTTTGGGGGGGGCAGGATGACGATGTACCCTCTTCTGAGCTTTCTGAAGGAAGAGCAGGATCAGTTTACTCGATTTGTATTTTATTTTATGTGCAGCTGCTCTAAAACGAGCAGCCCAGCTATAAACCAGTAAAATCTGCAGAGATCTTGTCTACTTTGAAACTCAGTGCCCAAGCTAGCGTTTCAACCCATTCCAGGAACTGAAGGCAGAACACGACAGTTTTCATGTGGTCTTTGGGGGAGGTGGGCAGAGAGAGAGAGACCAGCACCACTTACTTTCCTCGTCTATTTTGAGCTCCTCGTTGTTTTTGATTTTTTCAGCCACCTCCTTCTCATTCATCCCCTTGCTTGCCAAGAACTTGATTTTGTACTCATCCCAGGACACGTGACCTAGGAAAAAAAGGAACCAATTCAAAGGAAGAATATCCAAGCAGACAAAAACTGTTTTTCTTTTTAATGCATGGCATGAAGGAAGTGGATATAGGATTTCCCCCCTCCCCAAACACGAGAACTTGGGGACATCTACCGAAGCTAAACGTTGGAAGATTCAGGGCAAACAAAAAAAAGGACGTCACACAGAACGCCATTAAACTACGGAGCTTGCTCCCAGAAGAGGTACTGGTGGCCATCAATGTGGAAGGCTTTGAAAGAGGACAAATTCATGGAGGATAAGGCTATCATTGGCTACTAACCCTGATGGCTGTGTTCTACTTTCATAGTCAAAGGCAGTCATGCTTCTGAATACCAGTTGCTGGAAGCAGCAGGAGGGGAGAGGGCTCTTGTGCTAAGTCCTACTTGCAGGATACTGGGGAAGGACCTCTCCTGCCACCTCTTTATTTTGAATTGGTGATGCCACATTCTGCATGCAAAGCAGGTCCCCTGCCACTAAGCTATGGTAATAGTAATAGTAATTTATTATTTTTACCCCACTCATCTGGCTGGGTTTCCCCAGCCGCTCTGGGCGGCTTCCAACAAAGATTAAAAATACATTAAAATGTCACACATTAAAAACTTCCCTGAACAGGGCTCCCTTCGGATGTCTTCTAAATGTCAGGTAGTTGTTTATTTCTTTGACACTTAATGGGACGGTGTTCCACAGGGCGGGTGCCACTACTGAGAAGGCCCTCTGCCTGGTTCCCTGTAACTTTGCTTCTCGCAGTGAGGGAACTACCAGAAGGCCCTCGGCGCTGGACCTCAGTGTCCGGGCTGAACAATGGGGGTGGAGACGCTCCTTCAGATATACTGGGCCAAGGCCGTTTCGGGCTTTAAAGGTCAACACCAACACTTTGGTCCCTCCCCTTAACAGAAACTAGAGTGTGCCTGCATCAATGTGACCCACCAGGCCTAAGGTGAGCCAACAGCTGGGTATTTTGGCCCCCAAAGGTGCCCACAAAATCCACTCGCTGGTCTACTAGGAGCAAGTGGCCTTGACTCTCTACCAGCCCTTACCCCAGTTCGGAGTAAGGTCAAGAAAGAAAAAAGGGTTTTCTGAACTGTGCCTTGGCAAATCTCGGCACATGTAAGAGAGAGATGTCCCTACCTCTCTCCAGCCTCGTCTGTGCAGGACACTAAGCCAGAGAGGAGGAGGTGGCAAACCCACTTTTGGCGCTGGTCATTCCCAGCTCATCAACAGGTTGTTTCCCCAGCAGGAAAAGATTCCCTACCTGGCCCAGGAAGCCCCTGACAGGCAACTGTATGGCTAGTGGGCTGCATGGATGCTTCTTGCGCTACATGCACACCATGCAGCTGCCTGGCAGCTGGTAAACTAAGGGTTGGCAACCTGTTGCTCTCCAGGTGCATTGGACAGCAGCTCCCATCACCCGTGTCCATTGGGCATGATAGCTGGGGCTGGTGAGAGCTGGAACCCCACAAACCTGGAGGGCACCAGGTTGCCTGTGCTGCGCTGACACATGCCATGACAACTCCTTTTGTGACCGAAGCTGCCCCATCTATCCGTCTCCTACCATCACCATCGGGGTCCACGGCCCGGAAGTGTATTTTGTTCTCTTCCACGGCCTCCTGGAAGTGCTCTTCTGTCTTCTCCATGATCCAGCGCTGCATCTCCTTTGCACTGATCTTTTTGTCCTTGTTGATGTCGACTCTGTGGCAGGGAAGAAGAAGAGGAGGAGTTTGGATTTAATATCCCACTTTATCAGTACCCGAAGGAGTCTCAAAGCGACTAACATTCTCCTTTTCCCTTCCTCCCCCACAACAAACACTCTGTGAGGCGAGTGGGGCTGAGAAGAAGAAGAAGAGTTTGGATTTGATATCCTGCTTTATCACTACCCGAAGGAGTCTCAAAGCAGCTAACATTCTCCTTTCCCTTCCTCCCCTCCTTCAAAGAAGTGTGACTAGCCCAAGGTCACCCAGCAGCTGCATGTGGAGGAGCGGAGACGCAAACCTGGGTCACCAGATTACGTGTCTACTGCTCTTAACCACTACACCACACTGGCTCCCAGAGATAGGAAAGGAGTCAAGTTAGGGCTCCAGAGGTGAAGGGCATGTTGGACTAGGACCTGGGAGACCGTGTGTGTGTGTGTGTGTGTGTGTGAATCTCTGTCTAGCCATGAAAGTCGCTGGGTGACCTTGGGCCAGTCACAGTCTCTCAGACTAACCTACCTCACAAGGCTGCTGTGAGGATAAGATGGGAGCCGGAGAGAGAAACCATGTACACCACCTTGGGTGAAAAAAGGTGGGATAGAAATGCAGTCAACTAATCTATGCGGAATGGAAGAAAGACAATTAGTTCTGATGCCAGAATAACTGCAGTTCAAGCCTCTACTTGGCCACAAGAAAACCTGTGTGGCATTTGGATCTAGTCAGCCTTGGAGATCAAAGACTGGAGCACATGTAGGGAACATCTAAGCTCACTGGTGCCAGATTAAATCCCTGGGATTTTCCATGAGGAAAAGGCTTCCTCCTGAAAACCTCGAGAATGGATTTTTAAAAGGTTTTGACTATATATATATATATATATATATATATATATATATATATATTCAAAAAAATTTTAAACCAAGGGGTTCAATTCTACTACTGTGCAGAGCACACCCACATAAATTACTGACCAGTGCATGAATCAAAAGAAAAACTCAATATGAAATCAGAGAGCAAATGTCAGTAACCGTTTATACTGAGTTTTTTTAAAAAAAACCACACCATGAATTGTGTTGGAAATTTTATGTTTTATATACTGTGTTTACTCAGGAAAGATCCCTGCCACTCTTCACCCCAATTGTTGAGATTTACCGTATTTTTCGCCCTATAGGACGCATTTTTCCCCTCCAAAAATGAAGGGGAAATGTGTGTGCGTCCTATGGGGCGAATGCAGGCTTTCGCTGAAGCCTGGAGAGTGAGGGGCATCGGTGCGCACCGACCCCTCTCGCTCTCCAGGCTTCAGGAAGCTATCCGCAAGCCTTGCGAGCCCGGGGGAGTTCCCGTGGGCTCGCAAGGCTTGCGGGCAGCAGCCTGCAGCCTGGAGCGCCCTCTAGAGGACGCCCCGTGCTTCAGGAAGGTGTCTGCAAGCCTCCCGCACCCGGCGGGAGGTCCCTCCAGGCGCGCGAGGCTTGGGGCGGCAGCCTGCATCCCGAAGCACGGGGTGCCCTCCGGAGGACGCCCCGTGCTTCAGGAAGGTGTCTGCAAGCCTCCCGCACCCGGCGGGAGGTCCCGCCAGGCGCGTGAGGCTTGGGGCGGCAGCCTGCATCCCGAAGCACGGGGTGCCCTCCGGAGGACGCCCCGTGCTTCAGGAAGGTGTCTGCAAGCCTCCCGCACCCGGCGGGAGGTCCCTCCAGGCGCGCGAGGCTTGGGGCGGCAGCCTGCATCCCGAAGCACGGGGTGCCCTCCGGAGGACGCCCCGTGCTTCGGGAAGGTGTCCGCAAGCCTCCCGCGCCCGGCGGGAGGTCCCTCCAGGCGCGCGAGGCTTGGGGCGGCAGCCTGCATCCCGAAGCACGGGGTGCCCTCCGGAGGACGCCCCGTGCTTCGGGAAGGTGTCCGCAAGCCTCCCGCGCCCGGCGGGAGGTCCCTCCAGGCATGCGAGGCTTGGGGCGGCAGCCTGCATCCCGAAGCACGGGGCGCCCTCCGGAGGATGCCCCGTGCTTCGGGAAGGTGTCCGCAAGCCTCCCGCGCCCGGCGGGAGGTCCCGCCGGGCTCGCAAGGCTTGCAGGCAGCAGCCTGTTCTGGGGGCTTGGGTCGGGGGAAGCTCGGGCTTTCCCCGCGCCAGCCCCACGCCTGGGGGGGAAATAATTTTTTTTCCCTTTATTCCCCCCCCCCAAAAAAACTAGGTGCGTCTTATGGGGTGGTGCGTCCTATGGGGCGCAAAATACGGTACCTCTTCCTCTCTCTTTAAAAAAATCATTTGCTTCCTGAGATGTGGCTGGTCAAATTTCCTCTCTCTGCTCCCAAGGGGATACCGGAGAATAAAAAGTGCTTGCCCTTTGCACAAGATCATTTGCAAGGTCAAGGCAAAGGCAGGCAAACTGCTTGTGACCTGCCCTTTCTGAGATGAGAAGGGAGGAGGGATAGGGGGCTCCGGAATGACATACAGTCACTAATCGGCCGGCAAGAGCTCTAATCAGCTTTTGAATTCATTATTGCCGGCTGCTTATCTGCGATGCACTTAACAATAAACCTTTTAATTTGCAGACAGGATGTCTGGGAAGTGGTTACCGACCCAACCGCATCAGACACACGTGATAAATTATTCTCAAGCAAAGGTGGCTGGACAGAGTGACATCTGCACACTCCCAGCTGATTCCCTTATTCAGATACACTGGCTGAGGGCAAAGACTATTGTAGGGCTGAGAGTTCTGCAAGACCTGGAGACTATGAGGGTGGGCTATTGGTTGGCAGTTTTTGCTGGGGTGAAGATTTAATTTTGGGGATGCTTAATGTTTGCTGTTATTTGGTATCGAGTTTTTGAATCTTTATTGCTGGACCTTATTATAAATTATGTGGAGATGGTTTACCTTTGCTGTATATTTATTGAGATGTTTTCATTCATTGATCACGATTTCTTTTGTAATTTTGTAAATCCTCTGGTGTTGTAACCTGCCTCGGGCATGGTTTGCTATGGAAAGGCGGTATACAAGTAAACAGTGGTGACTGAAATGCCCGCTTTTTCAGTTACCTGAAGCAATTGCATCAGCTCCAAATTAAAAGGTGACATTGGTCGATGTTAACATACACCACTCACCCAATCTAAATTGCACCCTGAAGCTTCTAGGATCCCTGCAGTGGAAAGAATCACATCAGGGAAATGGCTTAACCCCCTATTGGACACCAGGTCCAAGGCCTGGCATCTCCAGGTACAGCCAGGTAAGACCTCCACCTGAGACCTCAGAGAGCTGCTGCCAGCTGGTGCAGGCAGTGAGTTAGACTAGCTTTCTCAAACCTCCTGCGCTGCAGAAGCTACAACTCTGAACAGCCCTACCAGCCAACATGGCCAACGTTTCGTAGTGCTGCAAAACATCTGGAATGCACTGAGCTGATGACGTCTATGCTAGATGGACCCAAGTTCCTCTGTGCATCTGCCTCAATTCAATTTGGAGCAACACTCACTTTGAGAAAATAACCATGAGCTTCCTCCTGTTCCTTCGTGGTTCTGAATCTTCGTCAAACTCCTCCATCTCCTTCCCAAGGAAGACCTCCTGGTGGAACTCCTTGTTGAGATGCCCGTCCATCTCCATCTTGACCCCATTCAAGTGGTCCGGGGGCAAGATCTCGTTCTCATCGTTGTTCTCGGCCGCCGCCTTCTCTTTCAAGGCGGAGTTGTTGGCAGGCCGCGCATAGACGTCCATGAGGAGGAAAACAAAGAGGAGGGACAGGTAGATGGAGCCCAGGCTGCAGATGAAGGCCCGTTTCGAAACCATCGCTCCTCCCCTTGAGCGTCAGCAGCTTGTAATACTGGTATGGCGATGGAATACCCTGGGAGAAAAACCAACAGGTGAACATGATCCATTGTTTCCAGGCGGTTTTTATGAGCTCAGAGGCTGAGCTCAGTAATTCCCCATTAGACACAACATTTCGCTCTGGATAGTTAGTCCTAAACGTGGACCACTGCCTTAAGCTTGGGCAATATTTTCAATGCATCTAATTATTAAGAACATAAGATCAGTCCTGCTGGATCATACCGAATGTCCTGCTAAGAATTCAGGAACCCTGCTGGATCAGGCCAACGGTCCACCTAGCCCAACAACCAATCAGATGCCTGTTGAAAAGGCTATAGCTAAGTGGCAGAGCGTCTGGTTCGCAAACAGAAGCTCCCTGGTTGAACCCCTCTGCATCTTCAATAGACTCTGGGATGAAACTCTGGAGGGCCACTGCCAGTCAGAGCTGGCAACACCCAATGATCTAACTCAGCATAAGGCAGCTTCCTAGGTTCCCACAAAGGCCAATGGTGATGGGAAGTCTGCAAACAGGAGACAAGTGCAAGAGCACTCTTCCATTTGTGGCCCAAAGCCACTGGAATTCAGAAGCCAGGTGCCCTTCTTTCCAGTACGACAGGTAACCTTTGACAACCTTGCAAAGTTGTCTTACTCCACACCACCATTAAAGCTGTCTCAGGTTGGCAGCCGTAACCACATTTTGCAGTAGAACACCACACCTGCAGATGGACTTTGGAAGTGTGCGGTTGGTGGTCATCAGCTGACTGCTGCAGAAAGCTGCACACCTTCAAAGGAGCTTGCTCTCAGCATTGATCAGCTGACGGGCAAGTAGGTGACGCCAACCACCTGTCAAAACTGGCCCATTTTTTTGGGGGGGGGATAAAGATCTGGCCCTCCAGGCAGTCCGTGTAGCATAGTAGTTAAGAGTGCTGGACTAGGACTTGGGAGATCAGGGTTCAAATCCCTATTCAGCCTGGATCAGTCACTGCCTCTCAGTCTAAGCTACCTCATTGGGTTGTTGTGGGGATTAAATGAGGAAGAGAGGGGGAGAACCATGTACACCACCTGGAGGTCCCTGGAGAAAAACGGTGGGATATAACTACAATAAATATGTAACTAATTCAGTTCCGCATTCTGGTCTACGGTCAGGTGAACAAAATGCTGCCCCTTAATTTTGTAGTGGATAAATAAATAATACTCAAAAAACTTAATTTTGTAGTAGGTAATATTTTATTACTAATATTTTAATATTTAATATTAATATTTAATATTTTAATATTTTATATAAGGGACGCGGGTGGCGCTGTGGGTAAAAGCCTCAGCGCCTAGGGCTTGCCGATCAAAAGGTCGGCGGTTTGAATCCCCGCGGCGGGGTGCGCTCCCATCGTTCGGTCCCAGCGCCTGCCAACCTAGCAGTTTGAAAGCACCCCCGGGTGCAAGTAGATAAATAGGGACCGCTTACAAGCGGGAAGGTAAATGGCGTTTCCGTGTGCGGCTCTGGCTCGCCAGAGCAGCAATGTCACGCTGGCCACGTGACCCGGAAGTGTCTGCGGACAGCGCTGGCCCCTGGCCTCTTGAGTGAGATGGGCGCACAACCCTAGAGTCTGGCAAGACTGGCCCGTACGGGCAGGGGTACCTTTACCTTTAATATTTTATATATTTATTCTGACAAGTCTTTTTAAAAAAACAAAAACCTATTAACATATTTCCTTAACATATACTTTGAGGCTTCAAAGCACATACATTTCAGTAATCCTTGAGTGTCAGCCAGGTGCAAAAAATGGCACCCAGACTTTTTGAGGTGCTCGCAAATGGAGATTTTTTTAAGGCACAAAATGCGTCTGGCACCCTGCTAATTTCGAACCCTGCTCCTGGAGCAAGTCAGAACCGCAAAGGTAGGTACTGGTACTTTTAAGCTGGTACTTTTACTCAGTGTACCATCCCACCCATTCACACCATGACACAGAATTCATGCACAATTCACACACACTTTTGCTCATTTTTTTGATTGGAAATATAAATATGAGCGATATTCAGAGGTGTCACTAGCTCACTGCTCCTCAGAGGAATTTGCCATATTAACTTCTAATGTTTCACCCTCAACAGATTCCAATAGACTCAAAACTTGTCCAACTGGTCTACGTAAGAGACAAGGTTCAAACTACATGTTCTTTAGTGACTCATTGGATACCCTTTGCATCCAAGGTGCATTTAAAAGGCAAATTTCACCAGGCAGGTGCTAATAATTGATGGCATCAGAGCAGGCTTTACCTCTTCCCCCCAACTGTTGTGGTCTTCTGCTTTGTAAGGAGAATACCCTATTAACGGAAGTTCAGTCCCAGATCCCTATTAAAAGTATGTCTTCTGCTTCAGGGTCTATTAAAAGGCTTCACTTACTTCTTTTACAGACTCCAGCACACTAAGAAAAAGACTAAACTAGAGAAGTCCCATCTTATGCATTATTCCTCCTGACACCCCCCCCCCGCCCCGAACAGTTTGAAGCACTACAGTCAAGACACAGGCTGAAAATCTCAGTGACCCGGTTGCCACAGCATAGTAAACCACAGTTTAAAACGATCTATGGTTTAATGTGAATGCACAGCATATTACTGCACTCTGATAAAGTAGCGGGCACCTCACTTCTCCCTCACTCCTGCTGGGTAACAAGCCATGGTATGGCTTAGAATTGTGTCCAAATAAGAGCTCACTGTTTGGCTAGCCATTTCCATTCAGATTTTTGGGTCACTTGTTTCCGACAAAGCTTCTTTCATTGCCCACAAGTTAAGACACTTCTAATACACCTGACATTTTTTGCATGCCAAATAGGAAAGTCACTTTGCAATATGTTTCTTATAAAAGGAAAAGGGAACTATACTTCTGCTCAGTAAAGAAGTGCTCTGTCCAAATGTTCCAACAGGAACAGTTGTTGCTTTTATAAAAGAATTTTTTTTACCCTTCACATGCCTTTTTTTTGTCTATGCTATAAATACTGCACATGCTCTGATAAACAACCTAAAAAATATCCCAACAACCAAACAGTAAAACCAGGGAAGAGACAAGTCTATTCATGCACAAAGAATCAAATTTTAAAATAAAATAATAATAATAATATCCATATGGATTGTATTCAACTTAGGCCCAACTCAAAAGCAGACCCACTGAAATAAATGAAGCTAAGTTACCAGTGCCCACTGACTTCAATGGGTCTACCCTGAGTAGCAGCACTAACAGTGGATATTTATTTCATAACATTTACACACTGCTTGACTGTAAAAAAAACCACAACTCCTCAAAGTGGTTTACAGAAAGATAAAGCCGAGAAAAATTCACAAGCCTACTTTAAAGCATACAAAAATTTAATTTTTAAAACAGATTAAAATTATTATGTATCCCCCCCCCCCCCGGTTTTAATGCATCTGTTGGGAAGGGGGGAGATTGTTATCTGTCTGTTTGGTTGCATGTCGCATTGGGTTTCCCTGGGCAACATAAAGCAACTAAACAAATAATAATTATAATAATTTAAAATTTCACATTAACTTTCTAAGCATCTGGGTAGGCCTGCATAAGCAATAACTTTTCCAAAGGCAGCCCTGCCAAGGCGCCTCCTTGATCTCAATAGACAGGGAGTTCCAAAGTGCAAGCGCTGCCACGCAAACCGACCAACTTCTCTTATAAACGCGAAATGGGCATTACGTGGCACCCGCGAACGTTATTTACAGCTGTTTATTCCTCCGAAACTTGTTTGCACACAGATACCAAAAAAATGACTCCCAAAGCAGGTATTAAAACCGGCAATTAAGGACGCGCAATAACCGATCCCGCTGGGGATCGTTTTCAAACGCCCTTGAATTGAAACGTAGCTGACAATCCAAATAATAAATAATAAATAAATCAGTTTTTAAAAGCAGGCAGGCGAAACAAATAAAATGGAAAGTTCGTTCGAGGGTATCTATTAAAAGAGCCGGCAAAGCCCCTCATTCCCTCTCTGTCTTCCCCGCCCCAATTCGCTCCTCCTGCGCTCTGCGTATGCTCAGAGGCTGCCGTGACCTTCTGCCCTGCTCCCATGCCGGCTCCATACCTGCCCCGCAGGCCACGGAGGCTCCTCATGCCCAGCCCCGCCCTCGCTCCTCTGGGGCTTCCTCTCCGCCTCCCACTCAGAGACAGACAGACAGACACACGCCGCGCGCCTGCCAGAGGGAGGGAGGCTGGCCGGAAACAGGAAACGCCATTCGCCGCTCCGACGAGAGATGAGCCCGCCTCTTCCGGACCTCCCGAGGCTGCCCGAACTCAACGCGAGGACCTCTCTCTCCAGTTGTATAAAGACTAATTAGTCGCGGCGGGAAGCGGCTGGTCTGTCTCTTTTAGACTCGCCGTCATAAAATCTGAAATAAAATAGTGCCTATTCAACTCTACCTCTTGTTAAATACTACTGCAACAGCAAAACAGGCACCTTGTTTGGAAGCTATATTTATATATATAAGGACCTTTATAATAATAAAAAAAGAGAAGACATGCTTGCTTCGGGCACGTGAGTCTTACGTAGCCATTTTTGTTTTGGACCGTGGGGCTGCTGCATTTTTATTCCCTGTGCGGTTTCACTGAATTTCACTAAATGGCAACTTGTTTAGGTGGGATAGGTGTCTGTGTACCAAAAACGAAAGGCTGACAGGGCCTTTCCCCCAAGTTTAAGACGGCAACCGCTTCGGCTTCAGCTGCCCTATGGCAAGATGGCAGATAAAAACTCGCACAGGAAAAAAGAACACCCGAGGGAAACGCCCTTAGTCAAGATGGCGAGCAGCCGCGGCTTCCATTGCCCTAACACAAGATGACCGATACTCACGGCCAGATAAGGACACAGCGGTGCCCTTAGCTAAGATGGTAACAGCCACAGCCTCAAGTGCCCGGACACAAGGTGGCGAATACGCACTATTAGCTCGCAGGGAGGGACGGCAGGGCATGAAATGCCCTAAAAAATGGCGCCGCCG